CCCCCCCCCCCCCCCCCCCCCCAATACAGTAGGAATCTCAATCTGCTTACCAGATTGCCTCTCTTTTCCTCCGTCGCGCCAGCTTTTAGCGCAGGGTATTTTAATATCAGGGATGAAAGGCATAATCCTTTTTTAACCCTGGTGTTTTTTTATACGAGTCCCACATAATTGTTTTTAAGTAAGTTGTCTCGGCCTTCAGCGGCTAAAAGCAAATTTTGAAACGATTAAGTGGGAGAAGAGTGTTATGTACTGTATGCATGTGAGTCTTCTTGTGAGATGTATATCCATATGTGACAACAATAAAGAACACAAGTCATCTTTCAATAGGTGATCAGTTGTATATATGTTATTGATTTGCTTATGGCAAATGTGTTGCCGAACCGTTACTTATATTTACACATCAAGCAGCACGGTGCACACTTATCATTCATTTATCATTATCTTTCTGTGTAGATGGCAAATGTATGTCAAATATTGACTTAATTTTAGCTCTGTTTGTGGTCTCTACCATGTCTGCCACTTCCGCTGCTAAAGGCTCCATTTTGTTCACCAGCTAGTTTATCTGTCTGGTGTTTGGCCCTGAGCAGGTAGTGAACAGCTGGTTTTCACTGAAAACAGCAGGCGAAAACTATGTGATGAGTGAACCAAAACAGTAAAGTTGTGGACCGGACAGCTAAACAATGAGCTGGAACTAAAGCTCCTTCAAGCTAAGGAGCTGCACATTTAGGTGATCATTTTCGTCATGTCTGACCCCTTTCACATTATAGTCACATTTTAATTAGATGCATTGTTATTGTATAATTATTATGGAAAAGATGTGTTTTCCAACGAGAGCTCCCAAGTGCTTTACAAAAGGACATACAACAAATTCATAGAGCAAAGTGCAATGCAAACATTACGTCTGTAAATGCTCTGTGTCGTATGATTAAAGGCCCTGCACACCCATGGTCCACCCACACAGGTGTTTTCACTGCTGGGCTTGATTGACATCTCCCTCCTGTTGTAGGAAAGCTCTCTGCATTTCCCCAGAGTTGTGGTATTTGTGGCGACTGTCCCGCGGTGGCGCACCAGAAGTGATACCTTTTACGTCAACCAGTCAGAGCTAAAGGGGGCAGGAAGAAGGGTCGAGATGATAGCGACGGAGCAATAGAAGTATGGCGGCAAATTTTAAGAAGCGTCCAGGAAAAGTTTCTGGATTAGATTCAGAGGAAGCATTAAAGTCAAAAAAAGCAAGCGAGTGGCAAGCTCACCTACAGGCATAAGCGCACGTCGACAGCGTTTGTGTGATTCATCCGACTGCCAGAGGGGAAAGACAAAAGTTCCACGACCCGGCTTTAAACCTGAGCTGAGGTCTAGTTAGTCACAACTGACAACACCTGTGTGAACGTATAAATCCTTTAAATGAATGAGTGTCATTCCTTTAAGGTAAAATAAAATCACAGTTTAAACAAAATAGAATATTCAAACTGTACAGTACATAAACCAATGATGCCATGCATCTATGGTCTATCTAGAATGTATAAATAGTGTTATTACATTTGATAATAATTAGGCCATAAGACTAGCAGCAGTTCAATGCAATCTCAATTAAATATGGGCTTTGGGTTTAAATGCTTTGATATGTGTTTGCTGAGGAAAAAAACCTGTTTTTAACATTAACAATTTCTCTGTGCCTCGCCCTTCTCCGAAAAGCAGGATCTTTACTTGACAGTAAAATTGAAATAAAACAGCTTGGATCTCCCTAGTGTTTGCTGTCTATGACTGCAGAAATTTATGATCATGAACAATACACACTTGGTTCTAAGTCTTGCCTGTTTTGACAGCAGTCTGATTCATAAAATCCCCTGTTGATGCATCGTTGCCTTATGTACTGATAAATTATTCAGCTGTTTTATCAGGCAAGCTATCATCAGTAAGCTGGCACAGGCTGGGATATTTTGCAGTGGAATAAAATTAAAGAAAAGATGTAAGTAATTAAAACAAGCTATATATTTTTTTTTCATCCAAGTGTCAGTAGTGGGGGATGGATCCGGTCTAGCTGCAGATGAGACATCAATGGGCAGCAATGAGTCTGTGTCGTCCCAGTCGTCGTCGGCCTCGGCCTCAGAGATGCCTGCAGAGAAGAGTGACCATGTCCCACTTAGCACCAGCCTCAGCTCAGGCAGCAACTCCAGGTGAGAGCTTCACTGTGCTGAAGTCCCAAGTCAATATGGGACTGCACCACTGAAAATGCAGGTGTTTGGTTCTGAAGCAAGTGGAGTCATACATGTATCTAAATGTGGGCTCTGTGCATTGTATGGATTGCAAAAGGAATTTAATATTTTGATCACTATTTTACCATCGACTGTTAAAGTGGCTCAAAGGTGAATTATACACATTCACATAATAATAATAATAATACATTTTATTTATATAGCGCTTTTCATAAAACTCAAAGACACTTTACATTAAAAGCATCATATATAAAAGCAATACACTAAAAACATAAAATACACAATAGTGGTCACACATTAAAAGCAGTTTTGAACAGGTGGGTTTTGATCTGTGATTTGAATATGGAAAGTTCAGTGCAGTCTCGGATGTGTTTGGGGAGAGAGTTCCAGAGGGAGGGGGCAGATATGGAGAAGGCTCTGTCACCCCCTGTCCGGTGCTTGGTCCTGAGTGGAAGAGGACAGGAGGTTGGCATCAGAGGAGCGGAGCCGACGGGATGGAGTGTGGTGGTGAAGCAGGTCGGTGAGGTAGGAGGGGGCCTGATTGTGGAGGGCTTTATGAGTGAGGAGAGAAGGATTTTGTACTGGATCCGTTGTGGGACGGGGAGCCAGTGGACGTTCTGGAGAACAGGGGTGATGTGGTCGCGGGTGTGGGTGAGCAGGCGAGCAGCAGAGTTCTGGATGTACTGGAGTTTATTTAGGATTTTGGATGATGTGCCGTGGAGAATGCTGTTGCAGTAGTCAATTCTTGAGGTCATGAAGGCGTGGATCAGAGTTTCAGCAGCAGATGAGGAGAGTGATGGGCGGAGACGGGCTATGTTTTTTAAGTGGAAAAAGGCAGTTCTGGTGATTTGTTTGACGTGGTGTTCAAAGGAGAGGTTGCTGAAAAACATAACTCAGAGGTTGCAGATGTGTGGGGAGGGAGACAGAGTGGAGTTGTCGATGGTGAGGCAGAAGTTGTGACTGGTTTTGGTGAGGGATTTGGGACCGATGATGATCATGTCAGATTTATCACAGTTCAGTTTGAGGAAGTTAGTTTGCATCCATGATTTAATGTCAGTGAGGCAGTTGGTGAGAGTGGAGTGAGTAGCAGTGGTAATGGCCTTTGTGGAGATGTAGAGCTGGACATCATCGGCGTAGCAGTGAAAGTGAAGACCATGTTTACGGATGATATTACCAAGAGGGAGCAAGTACAGGATGAACAGAAGAGGACCAAGCACCGAACCCTGGGGGACGCCTTGAGACAGAGGAGCAGTGGAGGAGGTGCAGTTGTTGATACTGATGAACTGTTGTCTGTTTGTGAGATATGATTTAATCCAGGAGAGAGCAGTTCCCGGTGATGTTGAGGGAGGATTCGAGGCGGGAGAGAAGGATGTTGTGGTTGATGGTGTCAAAAGCTGCAGTGAGGTCGAGGAGGATGAGAATGTTGAGGTGACCAGCGTCTGAGGAGAGGAGGAGGTCGTTGGTGACTTTGAGGAGGGCTGTTTCAGTGCTGTGCTGTGAACGGAAACCGGATTGAAATGGCTCGAACAGATCGTTGGAGATGAGGTGGGCTTTGAGTTGTGTGGCGACAATGCGTTCCAGTATTTTTGACAGACAGGGAAGATTGGAAATGGGACGGAAATTGCTCATGTTGTGAGGGTCAAGTCCAGGTTTTTTGAGGATGGGGGTGACAGCAGCCAGTTTAAGTGTGTCGGGGACTGAGCCGGAGCTGAGGGAGGAGTTAATGATGACTGTGATGAGTGGTGTGACATGTAAACTGTCTAAACAATCACTAGTGTTTGATTTGAGCATGTTGTTATTAACTGGTCTCTGCCTCCGAAACATAGCCTATAATCAAACTGAGTGGCCATTTATTTTCACTTCATTCATTCACTATATGAATTTGCTGAACATATCGGAGGTGTGGGCGGCGACTCGAATGGTTTGTAACCAAGATACACAGCTTGGACTTCAAGCAAGAGCACTTTCGCTACACAGGAAGCTACATGTATAATGTAAAGCCATTGTCTACCGTAGGGATCATTACTTTTTATGTGGTGGCATTATTGGGATTATGTGAGCTAACAGTAGTCGTGTTAAAAGTAGTGTTAGTATTCTCACTGGGTATATTTTACAGTTAGATTTGATTTGTATTTTTGTGTAACTTTGATGAAGACCTGAACTCCCAGTTATGTTTCATATTGCAGCAGAATAGAATGATGAGGAAAATCCTTCCTATATTAACAAATCAGCGCACATAAAAAGAGCCTGAAAATATTGTCTCTTGTGCCCAGTTTAATACATTTTACTCCTACGTAGCATCATAGTAGAAGTTACACTTCACTGCACTGTGGAGTTGCAACACAGTTCTGTTTTTTTTCCACCTTGGTAAAAAAGAGAATTCATGTCACTATTATTGTTATTATTAACGAACAATAATAGATTTGACTCGGAACCAGGAAGCCAATAAGCAGCTCAATTCACCTGTGAATCGTTTAGAGTTAATCAAAAAATTTAACAAAAATCAAATGAATCAACTTTTCAGCCCCAAAGTTAATTCTTTGAACTCTCTTGGTCTCATGTAAGAATACAAGATAGAAAATTCTCTCTCTCTTTCTCTCTCTCTCTCTCTCTCTCTCTCTCTCTCACTCTCACTCTCTCTCTCACTCGCTCTGCCAAGTCCTTGGTCCTTTTTGTTGTTTTTCCAGCCCATGACTTGCCTTGAATGCTGATGTGAGAGATGAATTATTGGGTTGTGCTGCTGTGTCATGTCTACAGATTCACCTTGAAATAGACTTTTTCCTCATCCACTGTCCCCTTCTCATTTTCCATCAGCGGAAAAGAGCTGTAAAATAAAAACAAATCCACCTCACAACTTGACAGGACAATGTGATTCTCACTGTGACCTATGTGGGTACATGCCCACCTGTGTGTGTAGGCATGTGCGTACTAAGTGTTTTCTCTAAGTTGCAGGGATAGATAGACAACGTTCTACAGTATTGTACTTATGTAACCAACTCCTTTTTTTTCTCTCCTGCGGGTATTTTTTATTTTTTTGCACTTTCCCACATATGTGGCATCATGTTGGAGGACGGAAGGAGCAACCAGGAGGAGGTCGTAAATCTCGGCTCTTATTTGTTTGGGAGACAGGTGGCCGTGCGTTGGCCGTGCAAATCGTATTGACATTGGGGATATATTCATCTTGTTTACCCTTATAGCCGCAGCCCCTGTCCCTTTATGAAGACTTGCGCCATATGTCACAGGGTGTCGCCCTGGCTTTGTTCACTCATAAATCTTAGCATGTGAGATGGTGGAGACCTGTTGGCACAGCACCTCTCTGGCCTGGAAGCCAGGGATTCGGCTTCAGTCCTTGCCAAAAAGAGCTGTAGGGAAGGCGACTGCTAAGAGTACTTCCAGCCGCTCTCAGAAGTGTATTATCTGCACTCTGGTGTGTTCAAAAGTGCACCTGGAAAACAGTATTTTCTTTCCGTCTGTTTCCTGCAGGATAGCTGCAGCAAAATCTGCCAGGTCATACACAAGTGCGTCCTGACTCACTATATCATGCAATGACTCTTTTGTTGACTGTGGCATGATTTATCATCTCCGTCTTTTTCGATGTCTTGCCTCATTTCTCCTCTTCTCCCTAAATTCAGTCACAGCTTCTCCCAGTGGTGCTGTTGCCTCAAGTCCTGCCCAATGAGTTTACATTTTTTTGGCCACTTTTCCTTCCTCTCTCTCCTGCCCTACCTTCAGGCCTCCATGCCGTCTCGCTGGCAGACAGCTGTGGATCATAAAATGGTGGATCAGAGCTTATTTCCTGCCCACCCAAACTGGCGGTGGCTCGGCGCACAGCTCGGCTGTCGGCTTGATCCCACTTTCTACTAGAAACACTGCTAAATCCCACCGCTGGCCTTCTGTCTTAAGTCGAAAGACAGTCGATAGCCCCGCTCATCCCGGCGTTAGCGCCGCGCCAGGATCAACAAGGCCTGGATGCTGCAGGGTGAAATTCCTGCAGTAATGAGAAGCAGCAGTCCCTCGCTTGTTGATGAATTTCTCCCTGCTACTAACCTGGCAGCGTGAGATGATTTGTGATAGCCCCAATGGTTGAAATAGTAAACCAAATGACCTCCAGTTGCACTACGCTTTGGAAGTCAATGTTGTTCAATACTTTGGATACACGGATGTAGAATTATATCCATTTTAATACCAACTATAATTGTTCTATATAGCTCAAAGAAATCCTCACAACTTAATATTCTTCAAAACGTGTTACAAACATCTCGAGAGGGGTTTTCACGAGGGCCTCACATACAGCGCATTTTCACGCGAGTCCCATTTACTGTATTTAATCATGTTTGTGGAAGAAGCTTAGCTAGGCCTGTGATGGGTGAAAACAACGGATGAGCAATTCAAAGCTTGATGCTATTTTTGTTGAAGAGAAATGGCAAACGATTTCCCTCGGTTTGGCTTAGCTATAATTGTGAAAGCAATTTTGGGATGAATCCATTTACCTCTGGTACATTTAGCAAGTTTCTAGGGCAGCCATGTGGCATTCACTGATTCTCCCTTACTGTTTCTTCTATAATTATTAAGAGATCTGTTTATTTTTCAACGAACTTCAAAGATCTGTTTAATCCTCTCTCAACAGAAATAAGCAGTTAGATGTGTCAACTTTTCCTGACTGGGTGTGTGTGTGTGTGTGTGTGTGTGTGTGTGTTTGATTGTATGGTAGTCGGGGGTTTTGCATGTATCTGAGTCGGTTCACCTGCAGGTGGGTGAAGTGTTGGTGCTCCTCTCCTCTCCCCTCTCTTGGCTATGACCCAGGCAGACAGTGGTTGTGCCTGGGCCCAGGGTAATGAGTGGATTTGCTGCACTGCAGCGCGCTATCCCCCCATGCTGATGTGGAGCAGCTGAGCACCACAGTGGCCCCCACACTGCTGCAGAGCTATAAATCACGCACAGTCAGGCCAGACCCGAACGAAACAGCCACCACTGGGGATGGACAAGCGCACTGAGCGGGAGGCAGGGGGAGAAATGGAGGGAGGGCGGTGATGCAGAAGCATGAGCCCAGTGCCGAGTGCTCACCTATGTCCACATAAGATCCCCTACCATGTTCCCCCTTGAGGCCGCCTTCGCTCTCGCTCTTCCACCAGTGCCAACATAACCGCTATGCACAACATCCTCCCACCCTCCAGCCCCTCCCCAGCTGCTTCCTCTAATTGCCTTTATTAACGTCTCTATGGGAGCGGCAGCTAGGAGCAATTTGCTCATTATGTACTGTATTAGCACTGGCCCCGGGGCAGGCATGGAACACAGAGGGATGCCTGGCGTAGACTCCTGCTCCTCTCTGCCTTTACCAGGACCCCCTACCGCCATCCTGTAGGTCCACCATGAAATCGTTGGCACTGATACCAGCCAGTGCAAAGCACAGCTACTACTGTAAAAGATGAGGCTTATGTTGACTTCACACATACAGAGTTATAAACATTCCTGTAGGAACTGAATGTACATGTATGGGTGACAACAATAATCAACATAAAGTGGGTTATCATAAACCTCCACTCATCTTTTATCTGTCAACATGGTTTTAATGTCTTCAATTTCAAGGAACAAAAGTGTAATTGTTGTGTTCTTTTGATGTCAGTCTTCGTGGTGGTGGCACCCAGGTTTGAATTACTTAAGTCTACTTTTGTCTGTTCTCTGAACAGAAACACAAACGGCTCCATATGTGAATATTCCTCCAGAATTCATGACTGTTTGAAATAATCTGCATTGACTGTATTGATGGGGAGTTAATTCAGAATGAGCGATGCAGACTGAGAATTTACGATGAGCCTGGTCTGTTTACTTCGGACGAGTTGACGGGTCGGGGTTGAGCCAGCTGATCTGACTTGTTGCCTTGAGATATGGATCACAGGAAGTTGATACATGAAGCATGAATTTTAAATTTCAGACTTCCCGATAGATTTTTCAAAGTTTCTCTTGATGACTTCCTTTCAGGTTAACATGGATTTACAAGAGCAAGTCCTCCTGAAGAGGCTCTTTGGCAGATGGAGTTGGATGAAGAATGGATTGTTTGTTTATGGAAGCCTGTCGTCCTTGTTATTGGGATGAATGTGCAGCCTGCACACTATGAGAATTCAAAGTGTTGCAAAGTATGAAATGAGATGAAGCATTTATTCTTCTTTTTTTTTTGTGTGACAAGTGTTTTACATTACTCCAGCGGTATTCAATTATAATTCAACCAGGTCCAGTTAGAGAAAACGTCTAACTTGCGATATGATTTATTGCCATATATATATTGTCTGTTTCAATTGAATAATATATATGAATAACAATATGTGTAGGCAGTTTTCAAATTGAACTGGATGAATTCTAAATAATACAGAATGTATTTAATTGTAATAATGATAATAAATAAATGTTCTCTCATTTCAAGTAAAATAACGGCTGGATTTAAAAATGAATTATTACTATTATTACTTATTTATTACTATAGTAATTCTGGTTTATGTTTTCTAACTTGCATGTTAATGTTTTGTGGCCAGTTAATTCAACCGACCTCAATGATTTCATTCCTCTTACATTTTTTTGACCTGAATGTGACAGAAGTGACAGAACAGAACTAGTTAAGATGAAGCTTGTGACTTACTGTGTGTTTTGAAGCTCTAGATTGGTGTAGAAATGTGTTCTCACCTTGTCTCCATAACAACAGGTGGCTCAGTTTAGCTCACCTGTTGCTCTGATACCACCACTTACAGTAGCTGCTACTAGTAGTGAACAATCTTCCGCTGCAGGAGAGCACAGTTATCTGTTGGTCGTGGTGAACGTCTCACCTTGTCCGCTTTGCTGAAAACCCTCCAGGTTCAACACGAGGCCACATCTTCACTGCCTCCTGTGTGTCTTCTTCATTTCTCTAGCTGAAGGACGTCGTGGTAGTTGAGTCTTCAGGGCGGATACGCCACGTTTTCAGTCAATAGACGACGCCGTAGGATCCGTGGTGACTAAAAGTGTGGTTCTTGTTTTTATCTGCAGGGCCCCCAGAGCAGGAGCCTCAAGAGAGAGCCAACCTGCTTCCACCACCGCTGCCTCTGACGAAGAAAAGCCAGAGGAGAGGTAAGACGGGGTTCTCTTTTCCTCCCAACTGGATTTCTTAATTTTTCTTTGTCTCTGTTTGGTGTCGTCATTTTTTTTTTACACTCACGTATTGGCTGAATATCACACCCTGGGATTCGTTCACTCTCTGTTTTCACTCGCTCGTCTTATCCTGCATGTTCACCCAACAGAATCACCAACTCCCTCATTCGTCTAACATCTTTCTTGCAGCCTTGCACTTCAGTATTTTCCCCTTCATTTTTCATATATTCACCAGCCTTTGATTTGGTTTGAGGGGTCTTAATGCAAAGTGTGGGCTATAGCAGCAACCTTCTCTCCTTTCAGTCAAACCCCAGATACACACAGAGGTGTCTGAGGAAACTGGATGGGTTGTGTGTACAGTGTGCCCATTATACTGATCTATTGCTGTGGTTCCTTGAGACCAAGTGATGAATTCATTTTCAGTGCTTTCAGATGTTACCCAGAAAAATTGTAAACAGCTCGGTCATTCTGTGGGCAATCCATTAATGTTACTTTTCATAGAAATACAAATCCTCATTTTTTTTTTTTTTTTTTTCAAATGCGGTTCCACGAGAGTGCATTTTTCCAAATCTGAATTCAAAAACTCCGGCTGAACATTGTTGTATTGACAACTCTGTGACCACAAACTTTTCTTTTTTTTTTTTTTTTTTTCCCAAGTTTGTATATCCCCTATTCTCCTCTCTCATCCTACATTGTTGCTGCTCTGCAGAAAGAATATGAAATATTTATCAGGGCTTCGTGTGTTGAAGGCACAATTTCTCCATGGTAATGTCGCTGGCATTCGAGATAGCGGTTTGCAATGGTGAGCAAAACAACCTTTCTGTGGAAACGGGGTTTTTTTTTATGTTTTCCGCAGCGCAATTGCATAAACCTTTTTACTAACGTTTTCAGCGCGATGAATACGGTCTCTTTGACGGCGCCCCTTTTACATCAAGCTGATTTAAAATGCAGCTTCCGAGCTCACACGTGAATTTAAAAGCTTGAAGCACCGTGGAGTCAATTTTGTATTCCACCTCTGTTTGTGTGCAAACCTACTTCAGAATCCCCTCGCCACTTTTTAATTATCTCACCAGAGTTGGTCTTCTGCTGTGCGGACCCGATGTGTGCCTGCCTTTTTTTTCGGCTGTACAAAACCTGCTACAAACAGCGCTGCATCTCATTGTGTTTGTGCACGCACACGGGTGCACATGGGTCTGTTCTGACTCGCTCGCTAGTCTTGTCTAGACTGGAGACGGGGCAAGACACGAGTGTGTAGTGGCCCCGCTCCTCTCTTAGTACTTTTGCTTATATTCCAGCCTGGCCCATTTCTGCTGTTTCAGGCTAGTGAGTGAATGAACAAGCAGGCCCCGGGCCCAGATTGAACTGTGCGGTAATCCTCCCCAAAGCTCCGCCAGCTCACTGATTGCCTTCATTTTTCAGTGTCACCAGCAGGAAAGCCAAGGCAGTGTTCCCATGTGAGGCTGAGCACGACTCTGAGCTCTCCTTCCAGGTCGGCGCAATATTCAACGCCGGTAAGTGTTATCTCCTACACCAGTCGCTCACTTAGAACCAGCCCTGGCATATTGGATTTGGAGGAAAAACCGAAACACCCAATCTGATCTTCAATCGAACAGAGAGAGATGAGACGAGGAGAAGGAGAACG